CAGAACTCACAGTCTGTTTACAAACAACACGAAATCACAGCATGTGACGTCACCGAGGCAAAGACTCACGTCACGCGCTTATCCGAGGCGCACTCCCGCGTCTGCCGGTTCTGAGCCGATCAGCGGCCGGTGACGTCACCATCGAGCCCGGTGACACAATCGGGCCATTATTCAGACTGGACAGGCTGGGCACTGCGCATGCGCATTTCAGCCAGAGAGCAGCCGCAGGCGGCGGGAGCGCGCACAGAGTTCTGAGTGTGAAAAGTTTGAACGCGAACTTCTTGTTCTTCTTCTACGGACTTTGTTCTGATGCCGTCGGTGTCCGCGGAGCTGAAGCTCCTCCTCTTCTTCTTCTTCTTCTTCTTCTGCTGCTTCTCCTCCTTCTTCTTCTCCAACTCAGCTCTCCTCCGTCACTCCTCTCTCTTCCTCTTCCTCTCCATCCTCAGCGGCGCGCGTCTCCGCTCAGCAGCCAATGAGCGCGCAGTAAACACCTTCCCGGTCCTCCTCCTCCTCAGGTCCGGTTCTGACCCGGATCATCCGGCAGGACCGATTGTGGATCAGTACCGAGCCGGGACCTGCGCGTGCCCAGGGCTGGGGGGCATTGTGACGTAACATTGTGTTGTTGTTGTAAACACAATGTAAATTCTTTAAGTTTAAATCATTCAAAAAAATAAAAAATGATGTAAATTAAGTTTTATTTTTGGTAAAAATGTTGATAAAGTTTGATTTAAACATTTTGTAAATGTGTAAATAAACGTTACGAATATAAACATGATGTGAGTAAAGTTTTATTTCAAGTAAACATGTCAGCTGAACCCAGACGACTTCATCTGACCTGATGCAGAAGCTTCAGCTGACTGAGAGGAACCCTGAGCCCCGTCCTCCATCAGCTCAACTCAGCAAACTGCTCCATCCACGTTCTTCCATCTTCAGTTGAGACCAGAGTCACAGTCCAGGTGGCTAACAGCCGCTAACAGCCGCTAGCAGCAGCATTCATATGTCCACATCAACCAATCACACTGCACCATCCCCTGTGATGTCACACGACACCTATGAATGACTCACCTGTCAATCATCTGTTGTATCATCATCTGAGGTCACTTTCTTTACACAGAAACACAATAAAAACTCATCTTTGGCATGAAAAAGTAGTTAGCATTCCTCATTTAAATCAATGAGCGACAAAGCCATTGTCTGGAGCCATCAGGCGCTCATGTGACTGCAGGTGGGGCCGTGGCGTCAGGTGTCATATGAAGGTGAGGTGCTGATGCTCATCGAGGCCGTAGGTGTGTTTGTGCTGCTCGAACAGCTCGGTCAGACTCTGCAGGTAAACTTTATGGAGACTCTCGATGTCGTCTCTGCTGGGACTCGGAGTCTGGGTGACCGGGATCGGCTTCCCCACTGAACAGAGAGAGACAGAGAACCATGGAGCGACCAACGTGAGAGGCTGCCAGCTGATGCTAACTGATGCTAACTGCTGAAAACTGAGAATACATTCTGCTGTTTCTAACTGTTGCTAACTAATGCTACATCACGCTGTTTACACAAATGTTTAATCAATAAATCAGGGAAATGATCACCAGATCAATGAATCGGGTTAATGATGCATTAGCGTAGCGTTACCGTACCGACGGTGTGGATGGGCTTCCTGTAGGGGATCACTCCAAAACTGTACTGGAAAACTCCTCTGGCGTGAAACAGCGGCATGGCAACTCCCATGATGCTCTGCAGTCGGTTCTGTGGAAACAGGAAGACATCCCATAATACTAACACACGTCCGCAGCAACAGTCATTCAAGCAGCTGCTGGCAGCGAGGTTCTAACAGGCAACACACTGTTGCTCAGTGTGGTTGCTGGTTGTTGCTGTGGCGAGTGCGACCTCTGACCTGCAGCGTCCTCAGCGGGGATCCGGTTGGGTTCTCCATCTGGTCAAACAGCTCGTTCTCTCCAAAAGAAAAGACTGGAACCAGCTGAGCCCTGCAGGAACACAAACACAGTCAGCAACAGTTTAGCCCCGCCCCTGAGTTGCACACCTCAGCCCCGCCTGATCCACAAGCTCCACCCACCCGTGTTTGAGGGCCAGTTTGATGAAGCCCTTCCTGTTTCGCACCTGAAAGACAAACAAGGTTCAACACTGAGTAAACAAGGCAG